GGGGGGGGGGGGGGTAGAATGTGTGTCACTGGGATCAGGAAATATGAGCGCCTGGCGCACCTGCTGAAGTTATTGCACCGCTACTTGTGGTCCACAACTCACAACTCACTGCGGTAGTGTGGGGGCTGGCCGGCTGGCGAGGCGTGGCGTGGCGTGGCGTAGTGCGGAGAACAATTAGTACCTCGGGCGCGGCGGGGCGGGGAGGGGCACGCAGCGCGCTGCTTGCTGCTGCTCAGTCCACCCTGACAATGGCGCTAGAGCGCGCCTCGCTGCACCGAGAGAGAGAGACAGAGAGTTGGAGAGAAGGAGAGACAGACAGACTGACAGACAGACAGACAGACTCGCTGCCCCGTGTGCCGGTCGAGGCCGGCGCGGGTGGAGTGGGCTTTTGGCACAGTAGTTGAGCAGCAGCGGAATGTCTGTTGTACAGCACAGTACCGTTCCGTTACCCTCTCTCTCTGTATACCCTCCGCGGCGCGCAGGCATGCGTGCGCGCTCATGGTGCGCTGGAGTTGGGGCGCCAAGCGATGCGTACTATACACATGTGAACGCCCCCCCCCCACCCAAAAACTTTTTATTACGGTGTACTTGAGGTCAGAGCGCCGCCCCGCTCGCTCGCTCGCGCGTTCCGCTGTGTTCGAGGGTTTAATATTTGATGGGGCCCCGGCTCTGTGCCTCTGCTGCTGCTGCTTGGCTGCTGCCCCCTGCCTTCCCCCTAGCCCCCCTATGCGGACCTAACAATAAATATATATTCTGCCATCGTACCAAAACAAAAATGCACTTGAAATTATTTTTGAGCTGTTGAAGGATCGTGACACTTTGAAAACTACCCTCGGAAACAACACATGTCACGTTGTTGTGCGTGACAGTTCTGTCGGGCGCTGCGCCACACGGAGCGCTGCGGTTCGCGGTTCGCGGCGCGGTTAATTACCCGTTCGAACTGAACTGCCCCGCCGCGGCCCATAACTCTAATGGCGGCGGGCGGTGACCCTGCTGCGTGCGCCACCCCGGCGGCGGCGGGGGTCTTGTTGAGCCGGCGGCAAGGCAAACAGCGCTGCAGAGGACTTTTAGTACTCGTATTTTTATTATTTTTTTCTGTTCTCCCACTGTGTTACTTTTGTTTCGTATTTACTCTCCGCGGTTCGTCATATTCCATACCGTGTGTGCTTTCTGTTTGGTTCTCTTTCTAATGATCCCTCTGTCTCCGTTTGCTTCCAGGGCGACGCAGAAGCTCCAACAGCTGCCGGGCTCCCCGCACCGTCGGCGCATGGGCTCCGGCGGGGGCGGCGCGGCCGGCGCCGAGGCTGCGGCCGCGGCGGCCTCCGGGGCGGCATCGTCGGCGGCCTGCTCGCCGGCGGCCGGGGGTGGCGGCGGCGGCGGTGGGGTCGACGATGACGTGGTGGGGCGGACGGGGTTCTCGGCCGTGCTGCGCGCTTGCCCGCCCCCCGCGCCGCCCGCGCTGCTCCGTAGGCTCGGCACCCGCGAGGTGACCGGCGTCGGCAAGGTGAGTTGTGCAGCACATCATCAAGCACCCTGTCAAGCACCTCTGCACCTGCAGGCCCGATATTTCTGTTCTCCGGGTTCTCTTATAGTTTTTCTCTTCCCCTGTGTGGTCTTCATATCGCACACTGACCGTGTCCGGCAGAGAAACAACTCATCTTTACCTCGGACGTTGATGGGGAAGGGGGAGGGGGGTGCAGGGGCAGGCTTAGATGAAATTAGAGAAGGCCGTTGTGTCTGTGTCTGTGTGTGTGTGTGTGTGCACTGTGGGTTGGGTGTGTGTGCGAGCCAGTTCGTGTGTCTGTGTGTGAGAGTGTGTGTTTGGGCGCTGGGGACTGTGAGGGAATCCACCAGAAAAGAGGAGAGAGATAGAGAGCGAGGGAGAGAGCGAGTGAGACAGAGAGAGCGAGAGAGAGGAACGGGGAGCGCGCGGAGCAGAGGCAGGAAGTTGTGGAAATAGGGTTATTGATGGCGGGCTTATGAGGCCGGGTTATGGCCTCTAGCTCTGCTGGTGGTTGAGGCCGAGGCCAAGCGGAGCCAGCGGAGCGGGGATGGCACGGCCTCTTTGTGTTATGAGTTTCATGCCAGCTGTCGGCCGCTGCCGCCTCTGCGCTGTGCTGCCAATAAGCGGTGTTACCTCTGCCCTGCTGGCCTCTGCCGCTGTGTTTTGGTGTAGTTACGGGTAGCTCGGACTACTGAATCCCAGTTATGTTTTGTTTTTTGCTGGTTTTTTATTTTGCAGTATTTTTTTTTTCATCCGACAAGGTCGATCCTCGTCGATCCCTCAGTAATGTATACTTTTCTTGGTTGGGGGTTGTTGGGTACAAAACTTCTCTTTCGCGGCTTCTCTTTTACTCCCTTTGTTGTCGTCTGTTGGAGGAAAAGAAGGTGCTGTGGGGAATGTGAGACGCTAGGGTGTTAGTGAGTAAGAGAGGAAGGGGAAGGGAGGATTGGCGGGGCCTTTGCTTTGCATCTGTTGTACGAGATGAGTAAGTGGGTAGAGAAGTAAGTAAGCCGTTGTGCTCTTTCGGTTTTTTAAAAATTACTTTCGTTCTTGTAGCGCTGCGAGAGCTTGAACTGTGTGTGTGACAGAGAGAATAAGGAGAGAGAGAGAGAGAGAGAGAGAGAGAGAGAGAGAGAGAGAGAGAAGCGTGGTGTAGTGGGGCTCTCAGGCGCACCCTTCCCCGTTCCCTCTGCACCTCTCCAGCCAGCCACATCATGCGCCAAGCAAATTTGCCACTTTGGCCCACAAGTGTGTGCCAATTTCCAGCACTTGCGCGCCGCGCTGCTTGCGAGGTGGCTGCTGCGCTGCTCAGTGCGGATCTTTTATTTTTCGGCCTCCTTTCTCTCTCCGCGGCCTCCTTCCCCCCGCAACCGCCCCTTACAACACCGCCTTTCTCTTTCTCATTCTCGCTGTTCTCTTTTCCTTTTGTCTTTTTGCCGTTGTTCCCGCCAACTCGTTTACTTTTCCTTTTTCTGACTGGGGGAAGCAGCAGCAGAAGGCATAGAAGCATAGTAGAAGGGGAGTGTCATAGAGCTGCAGCGGTAGTGTGAGAGGGGTAAGGTTGGGGGGGGGG